CTTCCTCCATGCCCATATCCTCCAGCCTCTGCATATCCTCTCTCCCGTTGGCTCCTCCTCTTGAATAGCTTTTCCCTCTTGTGATCCGTTCTTTGCCCTTTTGCGGGTTCTACTTTCCCCTTCTTGCCGGAATTACTGAACGTGACTGATTTAAAATAATCAGAAATAATGGGAGATGTTTAAGTTACCTTCACTTCTCTCTGTATAGGGTATAAAGAACAGTGGTGATTTTTAGCTCAAGACAGTCTGTTTTCACACAGTGACTGTCAAAACCTGAAAAATTCCAGTCTCTTCTGGTTGTCTGGACGCCATGGAAAGCTATCCTCACAGAGGATCAGGAGACTCTCAAAAATATTTCGCTTGGGCTGTTGACAGAAGCAGCACTTACTGTGGCAGGGAGAAATGAGAACTTCACTGAAATAAATTCTCTGACTTACACTCGTCAGCAAAGCTGTAGGGACACATTTTGGAGCTCAAAGTGCCCTGGAATCCTTTGCTGCCATCACATTCTGCTCAACTTTGAGCCAATGGGTAGAGTATGCCGCAGCTTGACTGTAGGTTTGGACCTCCCTTCCTTTCTTACCTCCTTTTAGAGCTCTTCTGCTCCAGGGTTGGCATGACCCTGACTGGGGCAAATTCTCAATTAGTTTGAGGCACAGAAATTCAGGACTAGCTCTTGTATGAGGAGCATGTTTGAGCTACAGTATTTTAGGGGTAGACATTTGGGGGTACCATTTGGGGTAGACATAAGTGTTCCATCTAATGGAAGTGCTGGGAATTCTCTTTTCAGGCAGAGACATTACTTATTTTGAACCTCAGTAGAGATTGCAATATAAGCCCATAACAACATAAAATGAAGACTTGCAAAAATGGCTTTAGGTGTAATTTATAGCATTTTCTAAAATGTCTTCTTGTTTTTTCCTCCCTTAGAGATGTGTGTAGAAACTGACTAGTGACTCAGAGATGTGAAATATTTCATCAGTAAGATTTTTTTTTGTGCTTTTTTTTTTCCCCCAAAGCAAAAATAATTTCTGAAATATTACCTATAAAATATGAGGCAAAATTACCCAACCTAACACATTTGCTTGGGAGGTGCTGAGTAACTCGCAGCACTGATAATAGTGCTTAATGTGGTCTGCAAACTCCTGCTGACAAGATCTTGACACAGAATCATATAAACAAGTAGTGTGTTGGCCTTTCACTCAGCTGCCGTCTTCCACATATTTGAAAATTCATATGCAAAAGGTGTAAATACTTCTGGGTGAAGTAGAGTAGCAATACTAATGTTGACATTTAAGCTATTTTATTAATGCTCCATTTAATCAAGTTAATTTTTTAAAAATTATTTTACAATTTTTGTATTTCTTTTGTGTTTTGGTACCAAAACACAAGAGTATGTGTCCTACTGTAAGACTAATTTAATTCCTTGCCATTTTCTTTGGAATTCTTTATTCGCGTAAGTGTTACAACTTTCTCATTTTTTGGTTAGTGTCATTTTTTTTCCTCACCTGTTTTGGCACATTTCAGACCTAAGTATTTTTATTCCTTCCGTGGCTATTAATGGCACATGATTTTTGGACATTTATCTTCCATACTGTCATGTTTGTGCAGAGCTAAAGAATTCATTTCCACTTTGTTGTCAATTTTCTTATTTCTTAAATATTTTTTTCTTTTCCTTTTATGACCACAAATCTTTTCTGCCATCCTTTCAGAAACCAACTAACCATCTTTTGCGTTGTATGCATTTGAAATATTATATTCTTTAACTACTTGTTTTCTTCAAAGAATATAGCTGTTCTGAAAATGGAATAATTTGCTATTTTGTCTGACAATGCTGTCCTTGAAGGTTTTGTTTTGTTTTGTTTTGTTTTTTACTTCTGTGGTTGCTATTCTTTCCCACTGCAGCCTGCCATCTATTTCTGGCATCTTCCACTCTGTGGAAGAGGAGACATGATATTTCACTTCAGAGTGCTTTCCGTGCAAGACAATGAACAGTGATATCCTTGAGAGATGCTGGCAGGCTGTGCAGAGCTCTTTTCAGTTAATCTCTTTTAATTTATGACTAGCTTTCTGGTCAGACACCTGTTAGTAAGTGCTTAGAGGAAATCCCATGGAGATTTCAGTTTTTGCTTATTGAAATCCCCCTGCTACTAGCTTTTTGGGTACACTGTTCTGAATGGGAAAATTGTTTGCATGGCCCAGGTAGAAACTTCTTGTCTTGCTCTCCCTCTCCCTCTTCCTGGTGTCATGATTAAGGTTTTTGAAAATACTGCACGCCTGTCTCCTTGTGCTGGGTCATTCAGCATAGCTCTGAGGCTGATCTACTCTTCTAAGGAGAGGAGTTTTAAAATTGAGAATCATCAAGTCTTGAGATAAATTTTGTGGAGTTGGCCTCCTGAGCCAACACGTGTTCATCTCCCTTGTACTTCTTTTGCCCTGCTGGGGAAAAACCCAATGAGAATTGCCTCTGCACCAAAATCCTTTTACCTCTAGAGGCCAGACAGTCCCCATTTTAGTTGAAAGACTTGAGGATCTTGAAGGCAAAGGTGCTATTACAGATTCTAAATGGAATTATAGTGATATTAAATGCAGTTCTCTCAGACGCTGATTTGACTTTTTATAGTTGAGTGAGACAAGGAATCCAGGGCAAGGTGTAGTGGGGTTTGAGCTGGGTTAGCAGCCAACCACCGCAGATGGTCATAAGCAAAAGGCAGACTTGTTAGGGGAAAACCAAAAAAACCATACATTTATTACAGACGCTAACAACACGTAACAGAGTAGGACGGTGAGCAGCATTGCCACATCTTGAGAACACCTTCCCCCCACCCCTCCCTTCTTCCCGGGCTCAGCTCTGCTCCTGATATCTCTACCTCCTCCCCCAGCGGTGCAGGGGCAGGGAATGGGGGGTGCAGGCAGTGCTGCCACTTCTTCTATCTTCAGTGGAGGGGGGGGAGGTTCTGGAACTTGCTCCCCCTGTTCCATCGTGGTCCCCCTCTCCCAGAAGACAATCCTCCATAGGATTCTCTCTCCCACGGCTGCAGCCCTTCCCAAGCTGCTCCAGCATGGCAACGCCTGCACGCTGCAATCCTCCCAGCGCTAAATTACAGCAGCAGGGCTGCCTTTTCCCACGAGACCCCGGCCTTCTTTGGGCACAGAACCTTGATCATCCAGGTGAAAAAAAACACAGGCCACAAATCAACGTCTGCTCCACCGTAGATCTCCATGGGTGGCAGGGGGGGCCGCCCTGCCGTCTCCCCACAGGGTACAGGGGGGTCTCTGCTCCGGCACACCTCCCCCCTCCTTCCTTCCTCCGTTCCTCCACTGACCTTGGTGTTAATGCAGCTGCCCCAACTCCTCCTCACCAGTCCCACTGCTCGTCACCACGTCCCTTCTTAAATATGTTATTGCAGAGGCGCAGCTGATGGGCTCAGTTTTGGTGCAGAGGTGGAGCTGGGGGAGCTTTGAGAAGCTTCTCACAGGGGCCACCCCGATAGCCCCCTCCCCTGCTACCAAAAAACCCCACCACTCACTCAAACCCAGGACAATGGGGTAGAGAGGTTCCAGCGGGACTGATGCTCAAGTGTTCAGCCTGCTGTGCCCATCAGAAAATCTCTCCTGAGAAGCAGCCAGTGGGGCCACTCTGGAATATCATTGTGGTGTTCCATAGACTTACACATTTCTGCCTCTTCATTCCAAGCGGTGAAAAAGGCTTTAATTTCTGGTGCTCTGGTCCATGAAGTGTCAGTAGACATCTAAGGCCACCTGGATGAGCTGGCACCTCCCCTCCACTTAGCCATTTGCAGTGGTACAGTATGCCTCAGAATTTTGTTCCCCGGGTAAACTCTTTCCTTGGCTTATGTAGTGATGAGAAAGTAACTGGAAAACTTAGCTTCCAGAGTAGTCAGTGCTGTCTCTTTATGCCGGTGGGGTCCGGATTCCTCAAAGTCTTGGGGTTTTTATCCATTATTTTTCCTCCTCAATGTTTCCGTGAATGATTCAGGGCTACAATAAGGCTATTTATTTAAGTGTCCAGCAATGCAGATCAATTTGCACGGACAGTTGATATTATCAGGTTCACATCCTTTTATGAAGAATTAAGAGACAGTCCAAACCAGCAGAAATATTTTTTCCTCTTTCTTATTCTAGTTACTTATTATGTTGGATATGAACACATCAGCATAGGATCATCTGTCTTTCCTAGACAGACAGAGAGAGAAGAGGAGTAAACTGTGCTTTTTTCTCCTCTGTTTTCAGTTTGGAGAGAAGGGAGAGAGGCATATGCGTCACTTGGAAATTGTTTGTTTTCTGTATGTACCTGTCTTCACTTTCCCAGTTAGCTGATACTGAAAGACCTGTATTAGAAAATTTGAAGGCTTCTAGTTATTACTTACACTTACGGGGAAAACAAAATCTCAAACTGAATGGTGTAAAATCCTTGCATCTTTGAATATTATTGTAACCATTAACCTTGTTAGCTAGGAGTATGTGCTTTTTTAATGTGGATGTGGAGTCTCAGCTATAATTCTACTTGCACGTGCCCAGGGGTGGGGAGTAGCATTAATCCCAACTGTTTCTGTTCCATCTTTTACTCCTGTCCTGGTTCCCCATGTTTGTTTGTGATCCAGAGCCTGAGATTTTTGTTAGATGTGTGTTATAATGCTAATTACTAGAGGGTGCTATCACTGACTGTAGAAAGGGAAGTAATATATTGTTGTTGTAATGTATTAAGTTCACTGCTGACATTTGCCAGAAGTGAAGGAATGTCAGATCCTAGGGCTTTTGGTCTCTGTTCCCTTTCCCAAATGGTGTGGCATGTAAGTATTTGTTATTAAAAAGGAAAGGAAAACAAACTGTCAATAATGGAAGACTGAAAACTTGCTTAAAGAAACTGTGGTCAGCTCAGAAAGCTGCTATCAGAAACAAAATTGACTGCAGTTCAGCCGTTATGCCACACGGTGTCGGACTGAACGCCCTTCCACTCTGTATCTTCCCCATTGTAGGTGAAGATCTTTTCAAAGCCAGAGAAGAGAGGTCTGAAATGTGGGGGGCACCTGAAGTCCAGGAAGATGAAGATACTCGTGTAGAAGTTCCACTGGACCAGGTATTGATCGACCTTTAAATAAATGGCTTTTTCTTTTAGGATCACATATTATGTGTTTTCTTTCCCCAGTTTCTTTCAAGTGTACAGCATAATTCTGTGGGGATGACTGTAATAGCTCAACGATACAGCTTCTTTTATGGGAGCTTAAGCAAATCTTCCTTTATATGTTAATGTGTCAAATATCAGTTACCTTTTCATCAGCTTCAGAACTGCCCTGAGAGCCTGGGTAGGGCCTTAGAGAATCCAGACTCCCCACTGTCACAACCTACCAAATAGATCCACCGAGGTCACAATCCCTTTATACTGGTGGAGCAGTGTAAAAGGGAGTATGGCACAAAATCAAGGTCAGAATCCCAGAAGTCCTGAACCACAAACAGGCATGGATTTATCTGATTTTCACTAATGATGCCCACACTGTCTTCTGTTGGAACAACATGGTACTTAGTTGACCAACTTTTTTATCGTAAGACACGCAATAAATAGTTCTTCATAACTAAACATAAGATTATATCCCCTTTGTTTTACTTCGATTTGTTTTTTAAACTCCTGTGAACTGAAATAATACAAGAAGGAGGTAAGTTAAAGTTTATTCCAATGAAGTGGAGAGTAGAACTGCTTAAATTATTTGCTGAAAAAATACTTTTTTTTTTTTTTTTTGTATTTCCTGCGAGTTGCTCACAAGACAGTCCTCTTTTTTATCTTACATGTTTGCAGGAATTTGCCACCTTGTTCATCTTTGCCTCTGGTCCACAAGATGTTGCACTGTTCTTTTGGGGTCTCTTGATAATGGCTTGGGGCCAGCCACCTAGGGCACAAGATAATATTTCTCATCCATGCTGCAGTGTAAGGAATCTCAGTTTACCCAGCAGCTTCCTCAGGCTATAAATCTTCCCAACAGCATCATGGATTCTTGGGCATTTTTCTGAATTCCTGGTGATCAGCTCAGTGCTGAGGAACAGTTGTTAGTGTGAGACTGTAAACAAATGGGAGGGAGGGAGTTAAAAATAGTTTATAGATACACTCTAATTACCCAGGGTAACATGATGGAGCACAAACAATCCAGGAGATTTCTGGAGTGTGTTGGAGACAATTTTTTGACGTAGGCAGTGAGATACATGATTAGGAGAGGCATTCTGCTGGATTTGCTGCTCATGATTAAGGAGAAACTGGTTGGGGATGTGATAGTGGCAGACTTAGTTGCAGTGGCCATGAGGCAGTAGGGTTTAAGACCCTAAAGAAAGTGGGGATGGCAAATAACAAAATAAAAATCTTGGAGTTCAGAAGAGTGGAGTTTGGCTTGTTTGGGAAACTGGTAGGCAGGATCCTGTGTGAGGCTGCCCCGACGTGCACAAGAACACAGGAGATCTGGTTGATCTCCAGGAATATCTTTCTTAAAGCACAAGAACTATACCAGTGCGCAAGAAAACAAGCAAGCATAGCAGGAGGCTGGTTTGAACAGAGGACTCCTGACCCCATACTCAAAGAGGTAGAGTGTGGTAGGTGGGAGAGAGGATGAACTGCTAAGGACCGGTATAGAGACATTGCCTGGGTGTGCAGGGATGGAATTAGGGAAGCCAAAGCTTGTCGAGAACTGGAAACTGATGGATGCAATTGGGAATAACCAATATGGATTTACTATGAGCAAATCATGCTTAACTAACCTCTGCCTCAGTGATGAAATAATTGGCACTGTGGATGAAGGGATGTGGAGTGGCTGGAAGCAAATAGTCACGTTGTGAGCGATGGAGACCGAGGGGCCTCACAACTGAAGCTGTTGTGAAGGACATGTGCAAGGTCAAAAGAGATAAGGAAATTGGGGTTTTGAGAAACTGCCTATGTAGCAGAGAAGGTAAGGAGGTTGGAATGTAAAAAACAAGATAACAAGAGGGAGAAACAGAATGTAGATACGGCAGAGCAAGGTGTGTGAACAAACAGCTTTAGCCTATTAGCAACCAAAACGTAACGTGTGCGCTTTGTGCTAGTGTACAAATCGCTGTGTATCCTTTAATAAAGTGTCATTAACTTGATCACACTGATTGTGCATGTTGTGTCCGAGACTTCCGCATCAAAGGGAGAGCAGTTATTGTCATTTATCTTGCTTTCAGCATAGACTTCCATATTTGGAGGAGAAATCAGAAGAAGTGGGGTAGATGTGGGGAGGAAGATATCCTTAAGAAATGTAGTGCCTGGATTTGTGGGCTACAAGGTGGGTGAAAAACTGGCTGGTTCAGTGGGACTTAAGAGGTCAGTTGGTTGAAATATAACTGGCCCCTCTTTATGCATGGAAGTCCTCAGGGTTTGACACTGGGTCTGATACTTTTTAACATGTCAGTCGGTAACGTGGATGCTGACATGGGATGCAGCCTTACCCAGGCCCAGTAGTAAAGCCAAAGTGTCCGTATCAACCGATATGCAGGGCTGCCTTTCAGGGCAACCTCAGCAGCTCGAAGAAATGGGCTGACTCATGAAGTTCAAGGAAGAGAAGTACGAAGTTGGGCACCTGGAACACAGTAACTGTGTCTTGGTACAGTCTTGGCACAGGTAGGCTAGGGAGCACCTGCAGAAAGGGCCATGCAGCTCCTGTGGCTAGCAAGTTGATGAGGAGTTGGCAGTGATCCCTTTTGGTGATGAGCTAGTAAAAGCACAGCCAGCACATCAAGGGAACAGATGTTATTCCTTGACTTGGCACCTCTGAGGTTGCACCTAGAATATTTTGTCTCATTTTGAGTCCTTCCCAGTACAAGAGAGATACTTACAAGCAGGAGAGTCCAGCACAGCAACACACTGAAGAGTTTAGGGGGCTAGAACTTAGGACACAAGGAGAAGCTTAGGGAACTGGGTTTGTTTCATCTTCAAGGCTAAGCAAAAGAAGGCAGATCAAACTTCTCTCTTCAGCTACAGGTGGAGTAACAGAGGAGATGGGGCCAGGCTTTTCTCTGTGTTGCACAGCAAAAGGATGAGGCAATGGTCAAAAGTTGCAGCAAGGAAAATTCTAATTGGATGTAAGAAAAATGTTTTCAGCAGTGAGAACTCTAAGCGCCTTCCTGGCCAGAGAGGGTGGGGAATCTTTGTCTTTGGTGATACTTAAAACTGAGCCAGACAGGGCCTCAATCTACTTACTTTTACTTTGAAGTTAGTGCAGTGTGGTGCTGGCCTACATGAACTCTAGAGCAGTAGTCTTCAAAGTGGAGTGTGCACAGCCCAGTGGGTGTGTGCAAGACAATCCATTGGGGTGTAAGAAGAAAATGTAGAACTTCAGTAGTACAGGTATATAATTTACCAATAAATAAATAAACATATATTGGGGGTTCATGCTCAAAAATCTTTTACCAATAGGGGTGTGCAATCAAACCAGTTTGGAGACTACTGTCCTACAGGAACATAACTTTTCTGTGATTCTCTATTTGACCATCTTTGATTATTTTAGCCCTATAATCAACTTTTTTTAGTAAGCTTTGGTTTTTTGTGCTTACTGTTTAGTTGACTGATTTTTTTTTTCAATTTATTTCTATCAGTTAAAAGAATATTAGACGTATATACATTTTGCTTTTCCCCTTTAAAAAAATACCTGAGAGGAAAATAGAAGTTTCATGATTTTACACTTTGTATATCAATTTCTGCCTGCATTACTAATCTGTACATTAACAAAAGCCACATACGAAATTGCTGCTGTAGCCATTTTGAAGAATGGTGCCATACCATCTGAAAAAAAGCCCTGGATCTCTGAATTTTATTTTAGGCTACTGTTTTTAAGAGGATCATTCTCTGTGATTTATGCACTTTAATGGGAAAGAGCTCAGCTATTTTATAGATGCTCTTGAACATGTGTGAAGGAGGTGATTGAAAGAGGCAAGAGCATGACTGTCCTGGGCCCTGATGTAAGGAATGCTACAGCTGTTTCTTTTCACAGCAAATACCTGTCCCAGCCTCAGAGACTTAGGTATTAAACATCGTTGGGCTCATCAACCCTCTTAATTGCAGTTGTCCTTGTGAGGTGTTGTGATAATTAGGATATGTTGGGTTGTACTGATAGTACTGACATTGGGGAAGAACATGCTGCCGGTTGTCTTAATCTTTGTTTCTTATGACATCCTGAAGTATATCCTGCCCTGGTCTTGACAGTATAATAATAAAATTGAGAAATGATTAGCCTGCTTATTGGCCTGTGAAGGTGTGTGAAGAACTCCTCCGGGTAGCGTAAAGCATTTGACAGTGTAAATTTGGTTGTCAGGTCTTAGTTTTTAGGTTGACTGCAATTCATATGAAATCCAAGAGCCCTGGAAACGCCCGCCTTGCTTCTCCACGGAGATCCTACAGCACCGGCACCAGCTCTGCCCATTCTGCTGTGTGTCTCACTGGTTTGCCTCGGCCAGAGGATTGTGACCATCACTGGGGAGAGGAAAATAGTTAATTCTCCACCACCACTTCTGTACTTGGCAGTGGTAGCTGTGGTTGTTGATACGGTTGACAGTGAGCATCCGATGTGCTTGCGATTATCTCTAAGCTCGTGTACCAAGGCCCATGCATTGTCCTCAGATGGAAATATTTTTCAGTTGCTACCAACTGATTTTGCTGCGTGGACAAGGAACTGGAAACAGGTGTGTTTGGGGGGGAAGCAAAATTTAAAAATCAGTCATGCACACTATTAGTAATCTCATTTTCATGTTTTTAGAAAAGCCAAACAAAGCACCAGAATTTATTGCAACTCAAGCCGTAGTTTATTTCTCATTTTAAAACTTCATGTCTAGTTTCCTAGGTGATCTGGCAAGAAGCCAGGTCCTTCTGAGTAGCACTGAGTACTTTTTATTCCCAGATAACTGAGGTTACTCAGACCTTGGAAGCATTTATCATTTACGTGTTCAGGTTATTATTACTAACCATTTAAAATAGTTTTAAATTATGTGATATAAAGTTTTATAGCTTTTTCTTATCTGAACTGCAGTTTCTGTTATTTCTAGAAATACGGAAAAGGACAGACAGCCAGGGCTTGGCTGTTTTACATAATGCATAAATATTTACATGCCGCCTTTTACTAGAATGCTGACACTTCTGATATGCTATCATTTCCATCAGCCACATAAATGAGGTGGTGAAGATAGAGCTCAGTCTTTTTTTATGCACCTTCTCTGTCTTGCCATTTGAAGTACACCACTGAGAAAATGCCAGATTAGCCATTAATTGAACTTAGTGTAATACTGGCTAGACACCTGCTTATGTCCTAGTCTGTAAAATGCTGTCTGCCAGCTGAGAACACATTAAAAGAACAGGATTTGCTTTACTCCAGACAAGCTGATGGCTGTAATTGAACATCAAGGAGGAAAAAAATCAGTGTTTTGCCTAAAACCAAACCAGACCCTTCCGTTCTATATTTTGTACTGAGACTTCAGCTTCCAAATACAAACGGAACAGTTTCTTCTTTTGACATGCAGACTCACTCCAGGTTGGTTGTTTACATCACTGTGTCAGCATCTGTGGGAAGTGATGACAGACAATTGTGCAAGTAGCTAAGGAACAAGGTAGTTTTATTGCAGTTCTTGGCAGGGATGCAGCAAAACAATACCAATTTCTTGTCTGAGATGGTAATTAAGTGCGTTACTTTGAGTTTGCTGATAATAAATAAATATATTCAAAGTAATAGTTGTAGTAATAAACATTGTAGTAATATGCTCAGCTACCTTGAAATTTTCAGTTGCTATAAAAAATTATACGTGCACCGATGGGATTTGTTTTACTGATCTTGTTTTGTACTATTATTTTTCAGGCAACTTAGCTTGACTGGTCAAGTTAAAGTAGTTGAAATTTGAATGCTGTTTCATGCCAGTTCCCTGTGAGCCTTCAGCAAGTTTCTGGGTACCATTCAAACATGAATTTTGAACCCTGCACTTATCTTCTATGTTACTGAGTTTTAACTCTTAAAAAAGTTGCATCCACCCCTATTTTAGACAGATAAGGTCTAATGTGTCTAGCTGGAGTAGCACCTTAGGAAGATACTGCCCCTCAAATGTCCATTGTGCTTCTGTGCCAAAGACTGCTTTTGCAGCAATGAAACCAGGAAAAGCATATACATTAGGATACATATGTTTACATACCTTCTTCTGAGTCAAGTCTACAGACCTTCTGCAGCCCAAAATGAGGCCCCATACTAAAGCAGTTGGGGCAAGGACAGAGACTCTTCTGATTGTAGCCACTATCAGGCAGTAACAAAATCCTGGAAATAATAATAGCCTGGGTGACTGCAACAGTTTGCTGAGGAAGTCTGGGTTTACTTTCCTTCTTTTCTTACCGTCTCTTCATTTGGTGTTTGTAATGTCATAGCAAGCAAAACCAAAACCAATTACTTCTGGCTAGTGGTGTGTTGGGTGCATTTAATTTGTCCCTGTTTCTGGTCAGAATCCAGAGCTGCTCATTTCCTTAGCAAACTGAAAACCAACTAGGAGGTCACGTGTAAGACTAGCAGGTAACTTCTGAGAGTTTATGGATCTACAGATTCTTTGCTATCTTTATGTGCTGGAGGTTACCAAAGCTGCCTCAAGTTTGCTTTGGATGGTACCTTCTTTGAAGGTGGCTGTAAAGACTTGGCTTGCTTAATTTTTATCTTAATGGTAGCAAGGCCAGTTTGATGTTACCAGATCAAAGTGAGTCAGGGAGGCTTGAATAAACACCCAGAGACTGCTGTACTTCAAAAATTATTTATGGAACCATTATTTATCTGGTCAGGTAACCATGTAATACTTTTACTAATTTGTCATTCTGTGGATTATTACAACACAGTAACTTGACCTTTTTGAAGCTGTGGAATTGTGAACTGGCATAACGTCTTACGTTGCTACTTAGATATCAAAACAGAAGCAAGGTGTTTCTTTAAGAGGCTTCAATCAGTTGCTGAACTGGCTTTTACTAGTATGTTGAAGGTGATGAGAGAAGTATTTTGAAATGTTGGTATTAGTGAGGGAAAGAGATTTTTAGAAGACATAACTTACAGATAACTGACTGCATAAAGGAGCTTCTAGTAATAATAACATTCCAAACACTTTTGAGTAAGAGATAATCTATTGCTCTCAGCTTGTTTGCTTTAGAGTCTGATGAGTCTGTGTGGGAGGCGGACACCCTGTGGGGATTTTTTTCCCCTTTATTTTAACTCAACCTTCAGCACAAGTACATAAGTTGCCTTGGTGCACTGAACAGTCAGGTGGATCTTTGAAGCTGAAACTGGAAGACAAATGACAAAAACTAGATAGTATCTGCATCAGTCTTCCAGGCTGTCATGAAATTATGCTGCTAGCAGCTTTATCTATAGTGAGTTTTGACTTGCTCTTCTTCAGTATGGGAGAAGATCCTGCTCTTTCCATCTGCTGGTCTGTCGTTGTGTAGGAAAAACAAGTCCTAACCATGCCATCCTATGTAGGGGAAGTTGGGAAGGGGGATGGTGTTGTGGAAGCACCTCATCCCTCGGGATGCAAAGGAGACAGTCTGCACAACAGGACTGTTGGCATGGCCTGGCCTGGCCCATAGGTAAAATGCCTCTTGGGGAGCAGTTTGTGTGATAGTGCTGTGTGATACTTTATTGTGACAGGACTTTATAAACAAGTACATACTAAATCCTAGAATGTTGGAGAACCTGGAATAGCTGGAACAAAATAGCTGTTGCTGTATTAATTAAATCTAGCTTATTCCAGTTGTTTTGAGTATGGTCAAATGGATTAACCCAGTGTAATACACTTAAATCTCACTGCCACAGTTTTTATGTAGAATAAGAGTGCATTATGGGGTGATAGTATAGAAGCATCATTTTCTGTCCACGTAGACAAACCTCAAATTAGCGTACTTACTCCCCAGTAGTGATGTAATTGTGATTTTGATGCCTGTCATGTTTCAGAATTGCATGGAGCATTCTGATTAAAAATGCCTCATAACGCTGCTGCTTTTCCTTTCACCAGAGGCCAGCAGAAACTGTAGATGAAGAAGAAAATGCAGAGGAGGAAGATGACAGGGGAGAGGAGGTATATAAAGGAGAAAAAGAATACCTGGAAGCGAATGGGGAGGAAAGTGGAGAAACTGTTAAAGAAAGAAGTGAAGTGGAAGAAAACAAGAAGAAACTAAATGAGAATTATGAAGATGAAGCAGAAGAAACAGATACTGTTGACCAAGCAGAGGAAGAGGAACTTACCCATTTAAACGGCAAGAAAAATCAAGAAAATGGGGAGGGGATGGAGCACTCAAACTACCAAGGTGATCTTCAGCCCGAAGAAGAAATAAAAGAGGAGAATTCAGAAAGTCAGAACCAGGCAAGTTCTTTCCATTTGTTCTTAAGTTATTGCTCCTTATATATCTCAGCCTCAGGCTTCCCAGACAGCCTCTAAGTAGCTGACTTCCGATATGGTTCTGAGAGCATTTACAAGGACTTCAGTTTGTGGAAAAGCTATTTTCCATCTGTCTAGTTCAGTTCCATCAGTAATTACATTATATGCCCTCCAACTGAGAAAGCAGATGTTTCTCACTATTTGACAAATCTGCATCTCTTGCTTTCCTGAGTATGCTGAATTTTGAAAAAAAAAAAAAAAAAAAAAAAAGTAACCTTGCAATTTCCAGAAAAGCATAATCTTTATATATTTCCACATTACATTGTCCTTTAGGACAGAGCAGGGGGATGTGTTCGTGAGACCACAGTGCTTCATTATTTTGATGAGTTGACTTTCACAGAAGTTGCATTTCATCAAGGACTCTTGCCATTGCTTTGTGGAAGTTTCATCTCCGCTTCTTAGAAATTGGAAAAAACATTGGAGATTAACATGATCCTCAAAGCAAGGGACTTTAGTCGGTTTAAAAGCAACTACCCTATTAATTTAGGAGACGCAGTAACATGCTGTTGGCTTAGATGGTGGCAGACAGACCAGAAAGATAAAGTGGACTACCCTGACTGTCAGATCAGCGAACAGAATGTGGGAAACAAAGTGTTTTGTTTGATGGGGAGAATGCAGATCTGGGAAGAGTGGGATTCATGAGTGTCAGAAGCAGAACAACTTGCTGCATATTCCCTGCCTATAAGCTTGCCAAAAAACTGATTTTTCCTCTGCTTCTTGTGACACTAGAAATGGTTCCTTGCACCTGGCCACTGGCCTTTCTTCTGTTTCTGTATGACACCCAAAAACATTTTTCAATTAAGAGAGCTGAGTAAAGAGACATTTTCTTGGGCCCTGAATTTATTCTGTGCTTGATGTATTGGGGCTTTTTGTTTGTTTTTAAAAAAGCTAAAGTTATTTATTAAGTGGAAAGACTGAGTCAGCATTCACTCTAATTGGATATGTGGGTAACTGGATACTTGATGAAAGAACTGGGGGGGAACCTCTAATTTGAGTACTTTCTCCTTTGGAAGGTACATAAGGTAAATATAAATGCTAATGTGATCACTCTCGGAAAACATGTTTTCACGCTAAGAATAACTTGCGGAAATTTTAGTATGAAGTGCTAACACTGTATTGAAATTAAGTGAAATCTTTGTTACCCAAGGCAGTTAACATTACCTGTCCTTTTTCTCTAGGTTGATTCTCATCTTGAAAAAACATCCACAAATCCAAGGGTAACAATCACCAGCCCCCAGGAAAGTGAAAAAAATGAGCAGAGCAATGACTACGCTGCAGTTGCATAGATAGAAAAAAATGTAATGAGCAGAAAATGAAAGATTATAATATTTTAAATAGAAAATGTTATTTTTTGTGATTGGTAACATATAATGGGAAGACAGGTTGAGTACCCACCTATTGAGTCTTGAGATGATAATGCCATGTGGACTGATAAAGAAAACAAACATTAATAGCTACTAGAAGAACACAGAATTATTTTCACAAGGTGAGATTTTCCGATAGCATTTGAGAGGGGAAATACAAGAGTACTGTAGAGAAGTATTAGAAAGAAATTCACTATTCTGTGGTATAAGATGGTTAGCAGTAATAGAATAACCACAAAAATAACACTGTTCCAGAAAAAGGAAAATAAACCCACCCAAATTCAACGTCAAAACTTCTTTGCAGATTTGTTCAGAAAAGAGAAAAAACTTTTGACTTTTCCTGCGGACATACATAGTTTTTCCTTTAAAATTTCACATGGTATGGATGATTTCCAGGCATAACATTAAGGTATAATGAGAATATGTTCCTCACTTAATGGACTCTTGCCGACAAAAACTGGTGTACTGTAATGAGGTGTCAGTCCTAATGTTATTAAATAGTGGATTTTCAGTATATTAATTAGAACTGTTAGTTTTAAAATTCATAAATAGCACTTATTTAGCATTATAAATGAATGTAGACAGCCTACAATACTACTGCTTGTTCCCATTTACAGCAAGTTTTGTTGATTGTCTTGCACCAGTTCACTAAAAGTGAATTGTTATCGTAGTGAAAAAAAAGTGAAGGAAGAGTATGTAGAAGATTAGTTTAAAAAGTTGAGTTTGGATGGATTTGTAATTCAGTCTATGTGAAATTTAATTTATTAATAAAAAAGAATGAATAGGCCTGGATTCAGACTGAAATTACCACAAAAGCGTTGCTGTCAGTGGAGTCATTTTAATATGAAATATGTTAGGATGAGCCCACCAGTTTTCTGTAAAAGTCAGCAACAGTTGCTGCATCGATGAATCCTTTACGTAGCCTTAATGGTTGGAGGTGTGTCATCATCTTTTTGAGCAAGCTGGCTCCTGGTAGGCTGTGGCTTAATTTGCCTTCGTAAAGAAGGCATTGATCCACATTATTAGTACTGTTAATGACACCAATTCCATTGCTCTTATTGTTTCTCTGTTAGTAATGGGAGTAATTTGTAGTTCATAGAAATACAGCCCTGAGCATAGTTTCATGAATTATACGGAAGAAAAAGTGGGGTTCCTTGTTGTTAGTGCTGGGAGATTATTGCTATGAGAAACTAAATGTCATTTTTGTTGATTTCATGCCATTAAGATAAAAATGACATTTATGAACTAATTGAACTTGAAGCACTGTTTGAGGAATGTGAAGAACCTGAAATACATACAAACATCTTCCCTTTTTCTACGATTAAATATGTTTTTCCAATGGAATATAAATATGTAGAGATCCTTCAGCATATTTCTGAGTATTGGCAATGTAAGTATAAACCCTATAATGCTAAAACCCACCTGAACAGGGTTAGTACAGTCTGCCCTGTGGCATCTCTGAATTGTCTATGATTAGTGTGTCCTTTGTTGAACTGTCTGACAAAGATCTGAGGGAATATTACATTTGTGATCAATTCAAAATAAGCTCCTAGTGTAGCCAAGGTCTTAAGCAAGTATGCCTGCTTCTTTTGTTTGATACAGCAGTTAAACCCATGCTCAAATATTTTGATTTCACTGGGATTTAAGAAGACATTTGAACTTAAGCAGAAGTAAAAAAACAACTGACTGTCCTCTCTCTCCCACCTCCCAAAAAACAAAAAACAAACACACGCACAAAAAAATAAACAAACAAAAACAAAAAAACAAAACCAACCCCCAGCATTAATAAAATAGCTGTACATGATAGTGTGGAACATTGGCACACAGAAATCCTCTAGGTAGCTTTAGAGTTAATCCTGCACTGGAATAATACATGCAATAGCATTAAAAGCCCTCAGACAATAATTACCCAGCCAGAGAAGGCAGGTCTGTCTTCTCAGGGAATTTCAGGGAAGTTACCCACTGAACCTTCTGTGCAAAGCTGAGCAGGGAAGATGGCTAATGCTGTGTCTTTGCTCGCTCAGAGCTGCAGAGCTCATGTGCTTCTCAGCAAGCCTGGCCTTCAGTGTGTTGCCAAATGAAGGCAAATGCCAGCGGTCTGGTGTTGCCGTTCCCGGGAACGGGCTCCTTGCTGGAAGTTAACGGTGGACCCAAGCCAGGGCTCTGCTTGCCGTCATTAAGACTTGAACAACCTCCGAGATGTTCTGCATCCTCAAAAGTTTGAAGACAAATCGACACCCAGAAGTACCCGATGGAGACCGTTTGGAGAACGTTTGCCTCAAAATGTTGTACCTAGAAACGCGGTTTAGGAGAAACTGAGGGATGCACATGGTGACACTTTTCTCCCCTTGGTTTCTACTTGCAGTCGCTGTCTTCCAACAGTTTCTGTCATTTCTTCCCTCTTCCCCAAATGTTCTGTGTCTTCGATGCTTAGAAGATTTGCAGATGTCAATAAGAGTAATTTAAAAGCTTAAACTAAATTCTAAGGAAGCATAATATAATCTTTTTTTTTTCTTTTTCATGGGATCATGAAACCCTATGAGTGTTATTCAGCTTTTAGAATGTTTTCTTGTAAGAAAGACAGGATGTATTTCTTCAGAATAGCAAATCAGACTTTTTGGAAATGGAGAGATAACCATTTTATCATTCACCTGACAGCACTGACAATGTGGATTTTGTATCAGGTTCTTTTATAGAGAGAAATTAGTTTATGCATAACAAATAATTCTGATGTGAAAGTAGAAATGAAACAAGGAGCATACAGGTGCACTTGCTGATAGTTTTTCCATCTGGATTTGCTGTGTGTGATGGCTTAACTCAGTTTTATATGAGAAATACATTATTTTGTTAAGCTTATGCAATGTTATTTTATTAAGCTTATATGCAACAGTTCTGAGGGGTTTTTTAAGACTTGATTTCTTGGTTTTATTTTTAAAAACAATTTGATATTAAAGAGAACTAGCATACAGATATTCTTGTGTTTTGTCTCATATCAAGGTCTGTTTGTTAAGTCTGTCTTTGGGTGACTGGCTTTATAGACCTGGTGATTTTGCAGCTGATAGGATTCTTCCCTAACTGGAAATAAACAAACAAAACAAAACAAAACAAAACCAAAGCAAAAAAACTACATCAGATTTGGTAGTTTTGGTATTGCAACCGTGAAAGAAAATAGGCTGACAATGTAACTGTTAGTTATAAATCTAAGTTACAAATCCAAGAATGACAGCACAGTCAAACTGGCCACTGGTTTTTAATGTAATCGCTCAGGTTAGAACTATATGATTGGTATGTGTGTACTGTTTACCTGATACTCAGCAAAGAACCTGAGTTTTATCTGTTCACAGGCAATACTTGAGAAAACCACCAAGTTTTAGCTGTGTCCCTGCTGAAATTCCTAATTTCAGCAAAGTATTAAAGCATATGCTGAAATCCTATAGGACTGCAGTTTTATTAAATTTTATCTCATGCTTTGGTGCTTTGACATATCAGAGCCAAAATAAAGTTAGTGTACAGAACAAAAAAGGTGAAAATAAGGAAAATATAATCCCTGCCCAGTTTCATCCAAAGTCAAGTGAAATAAACCTGCGTGCAGAAGAAAAAAAAGAGTAAGTATTCTGATGACATGAAAATATGGGGAAGGGATTGTTGCTGGGCTACTTGGATTGGTTATCACAAAGACAGGTGAGAATAACTGCTAGATAATAAATGTAAGTACAAAATGAAGTATCTTGAGGAAGGGTATAGAGTAGTAGCAGTCAGAATGATTGAATGGGATGTGGCTCAAGGATGTATTGTTTTATGTGGCCGATGGCCTTCAATCTCAGTTTTAATCCAAAGAAGTGCTTTAGGCATGGCAACAGACAGTGAAGCTGTCTGCTGTTTTTAGATTATTGTGCATGTGCATATTTGTGTGCATGAGCTTACAGGCACGTGTGTGAACACTGTAACTGAACGCATTGGCCGTGTGTTCACGGGTACTGCACATGTAAACAAGGTGCACGTATAATAATCTAATCTTGTTATATTGTTCATGATGGGAAAAAATATGATTGATCGTAGCTGAAAGTTGCTGTAACTATCCAAGGAAACAGCTAAATCTAGTAATAACCAACCTCCTAAAGAGGGTGATGTATCTTTTGAAGTTCTGTGTCTTCCTTGGTGCTTTGCTGAGCCCCAAGGGGGTGAAGCTTTTTCTGGAGGGGGTGCTGGGGCTGGGGGGAGCACACACCTCCGGCCAGCCCCACAGGTGCCTCAGCTCCTCCTGAATCCCAGCAGGAGCCTCTCAGGGCTGATTTCTGGGCTCTTCCCAGGTGTGGGGGCCTCTGCTGTGCTGCCCAGGGGCTGAGGATGGGCTTTGGGCAGGGGCCCTCCTGCTCCCCGGCCCCTCAGCACTGCCGCAGCCCCTGGGAGAGAGATGGCTCCATTGCTCCCCCCGCCCCGCACACAGGTGAGGGCACTGGGACCTGGGGAGCCCCTGGGGTCTCAGGGGGCTGCAGCTCCTCCCGCTGCCAGACCAACGGGAGCTCTAGGCCAGCCCCAACCAGGACAGATGGAAAGGAGCTGGGGGGGAGCTGTGTGCCCCTGCGGCAAGCCATGGGGTGTCATCGCCCCCCGCCAGCCCCAGCTCTGCCTTGCCCGGGGCTGCTGAGCCTTGCTGACGGGCTGAAAAATCCCAATTCAAGCTGGTTTGTGAAGTTGGGGGTGGGAACTGGCCAAGGTCAAAGCCAGGCAAGCAGCCGGAGCGGAGCTGGCATTGCAAAAAGGCTGCTGCAGTTCTCTAGCTGTCTATCTGTTGCTGGGTGGATGTGGGGTGCTGTGGTGGGGAAGCAAGCTGGAGAAGGGGCTTAAACCCCTCCCAGGGCAGGGGGAGCCCCCCCCCCCCCGGTGTTTCTGGGCCGGGAGGAGAGCAGAGCTGCTTCAGGGTGGCACGGCAAAGGGCTTTTCATTAACCATGGCACCGGAGGGAAGGCAGCGCTGGGTGGCCACGTCTGTACCTGCTTGTACCCGGCTTCGCTGCTTTGGGCTCTCAGTAATAATCCCAGAGTTGGGAATAAAGCTTGTGCCTCTACTTGTAGGGAGAATCCCCAGGGGAAGGGGTCTGCTACAGATTTGGGCAGGGGCAAGCAAGAAGTAATACTAGATTAATTAGGGGTGGCTGCAAATCTCTTTATCAAGGTTAAGACTAAGTTACCACCTAAACTGTGGGTGGCTTGGGTGGGTAAAGTTCGCTCATTCTCATTCTGGGTACTTTCTTGATCCCAGGGGGTTGCGATCCATTTCCATAACACATATAAACATGTTAAACTAAAACATATCTTCCCAAGACAGGTTATAGAATTAGCAAACATGACATTTAACTATAAACATTATGAAACTAAACATGTGAGGGTGAAGGTCGCAGATGACATCCTTGTTCACATTAAAAAGTTACATTTCCAAAAACATTTGGTTTACAAGTACAGACACAAACAAAAAACAAAATCACACCACACAGAAAAATGAATAACCCTTCTGGACACTGGGGATTAGCAGTTTAGGAACAGAGCCTAAATCCTGCGTTTTGCAGCCTCAGCCCTGGGCTCAGGGTCTGGTTTGGGGCTCATCAACCGTGAGTGAAGCCTGGGGGTTTGGGGGCAGACACATGGAGGAGCCAAGGCAGTTACACATGTTCAAGGCTGGACACAGAGACCAAGTCCTTTGTGTTTGGGCTCAAAACCAGGCTCGGAGCTTAGAATTTCCTACTTAAATCTGCTCATTGCCAGCTTATATCCAATAGGTACGCTTTTGATGCTAAACACATTGGCTTTGCTTCCTGGTATTTACTTCTGAGATTCAAGAACATGGAAAACAAGATCCTGCCTCAGCATGTGCTGTCCAGGCTATGCAAGGAGGAGCTCTTTGCAGTTTCTCTCCTACAAAGGGCATCCTCTTCCAGTCCTTTAGCAGCACCCCTGTGACTTTGTTTCAAATTAACCTTTCCTGAATGTGTGGGCTTTGACTAACGCAGACTATTCAGGGTGAAGCCTTTCTAATACTCCAGGGAACTCTGAAAACCACCAGCCCCATCAGAAACACTTCCTGTCGTGCTGTTCTGAGATCCCACCAAGTTACTAACTCACTCTTCTCTTCCTTGGGGTAATAAACCCAGAGCTTCCTTCTTCCCTGGTGTTTCTTACTGATGAGCTCCCAGACATAACAGCCAGAAATCACTGCTGCGATATAAATCACAGCCTTACACTCAAAAAGCTAAAACTACAAGGCTTTCAAATTAGGAGAAGTTAGCCCATGAGACAGCCCCACAAGGCATCGACACTTTGTGAGCCATTCTGAGGAAAACAAAGCAAATATTCACCCCATCCCATCCATCATCCATGAGCAACTCACCTGAGAGACAAATCTGAATCCTGCTCTGCTGGTCGCAGCCTCCCCCCAGCCAAGGCAGCAGCACATCTCAGTGCAGGCGCACACACAAAACCAGCACTTATAGCTGAACAGGGACATTTCCATTTTTTCCTGGCAGAAGAGACTTCTTTTGAAGGAGGTGTTTCAAATCTCACGTTAATTTTTAATTTGTCAAGGCCAGATGGGACTGTTATAAGGCTCCCGATATATTCTGAGGTGTATAACAAAACGTATGTACCAAACAGAAGTGTGAGATTGATGCTGACATGTACAGAATCCATAGAGACCTGCTCGTTTCTGCTACAGCCGTCCGTGCTGCTGGCCACAAATCCTGACAACCTGGTACTTGCACTTAGTGGGTTTGGGATGAGGCTGGGATCTGGAAAAGCTGATGAAAAAATGTTTCTCCCTTGCCTGTCTGTCTATCTTGATTATTTGAAATGGCTCCTTCTAACTTCAACTGTTGTTGATTGATTTGAAGGACAGTAAACAAATCAAATAGGAAACATTCAGTTCAAGGTCTGTGCCCCTCAATAGTTTTCCTACTATCATGAGAAAACTGACGTGCGGAAAACAGACTCCACAATCTGATAGATTGTAAAGTAGGTATGTTTATTCAGCGCTGGGCACACAGGGGATCACTCCTCCTAATGTGTGTGCAGCCATGTGGCACCGTTGCCTTAGATTTATAGAGCAAATGATTACATATTCATAATATTTCGCAATACGCCTATACATATGCATCACCTATCCCCGCTTCGTATTAAAATTAGCATTTCCATGATCTCCTCCCAGTTGAGTCTGCGCAGTGAGTTCCTTTGGTCCTGGGCAGGGGTCGTGAAGGGCTGGGCGGTGGTCGTGGGAGGAAGTATCTCCTCTTCCTCAGTGCTGAACTTTTCACCCCGAATTCCTGCGCAGTCTCTGTCACCCCCTGGACCCGCAGAGCAGGTTTGTGCCGGTTGTGGGGTAATCTTCACTTACTCAGGGGTGGAGGAGGCTTTTTACTTAAACAGGAGATAGTGGTCGAGCAACACAAACACCTCATACAAGCTAGGCAAACTCTTATCTCGACTGTTTCCCTCCTCATCCCCTTCTTGCTATTCCCACATTAACCCTTACATCCCCTGTTCCTATCTAGGCCCTGTATCAATCCCCCCTTTCTTATCATACTAAGTAAATTCTTTTATTTCAGCAATTTTCCTGAGTAGTATAAAGCCTCATGTATAGCAGTTATCCTTTTAAACATTCTCCAGACCCATAGATATAACATGATGGTTAATACTAATAAAATTGCTACACTACCTAGTAGGATCACAATGGGGTGTATCATAATATTAAGGATCCCAGTTGCAGAAGGCGACCAGCCGAGAAGAGTATCCCACCAGTTATGACTTGCATCTTGTTTTGCTCTTTGCAAAACCCTGTTTATTTCTTTTGTATCATGGTGAACAGTGACTAAAGTTTTCTCTCCGTTTTTCTGAATTTCTCTCAAGATCCCTAACAGATCTTGGTGTTTAATCAATTGCCTTACTAATGTAAGGTTCATTCCAATAGGTGTAGGTGATAACTC